TATGAGCGCTGAAAGGTCGTTCTGGATATTCCACGGATTACTGTTTCCGTGGCTGATTAGCCCCAGAAAGTCCTTCAAGAGCATCCTGTATCGCAAGCCCCAATTCTGAATGTTATGCCGTACAACCGTTATTGAAAATGAAGATTGCGAAAGAGAATAAAACGACAAAAATTTTGACGAGTGCCATATTATGAGTGGGCATCCACAGCCATAGGACAAATGTGAGACTCGGGGCAGCTAGAAACCAATACATTGACGGAAATTTCTCATCTCGTCGGTAGGCTGGAGTTTCTTTATGTATCTTTGCGGATGTTCAGGCGCCATTCAGGTTACTGGCTTTGCTACTTGCTTGATTGCCGAAATGCCGACGATAATTGCTTTGTCATTATCGGGCAACATTTAACGGTCGGAGATTAGGGGAACAACTTCCAGAGGTCTCTATATACACGGGTTTTCGATACGTGCGTTATGGATATTTTGTATCAAACATTAGGAAGGTGAGTGTAAAAAACGAGCCATGAGGAGAAACCCTTCAACTGTTGGTCGATACGTCGGAAGAGCCTCAAGGGGCGAAGGACCAGACGACAATCGAGGGCTACATTAAAACTGAGTAAGGGAGATGACTTTTATCACTAGGGTATTGCCTTGAAAATGTCACACTTCCACTACTGCTTGACGACAGACTTTATCTTATAAAATGGGAGAACTCTGGACAACACTTCGCTGTCATGTTGGTCGCCGACTCACTTAAAAGTTCGTTGGCAGGATTTGAGGTTGTTTACACAAGTAAGCACCACAAATCCCTCGCGGGCAAGGTTTAGTAGTTATTTTCATCCCTGTATAGTCTGTGCGTGTTATTAGCTTCTCTCAAAGTCAACTTGGGTTGTAAACGTAGGTCTTATTATCCAAGATAGACCACATATAAATATCTGCAGCCGGGTTCGCCAGGAATGAATGAATAAAATACTCGGAAATGCACACCGCCCCCCACTTCTTCAGGTTCATCGCCCAGGAAGTGCCCATTGAGGTTCTGATGCTCCAAACTAAAATATGTTTCCGACGATTAGGCAATTTTTCTACGACGAAAAAGAGGCCAAAAATACTTTATCCGCTCCTTGAACAACTACAGGGCCTTCTAGAATCATCAATTTGCCTACCGACCCCGAAGAGTCATTTTCATTTTATACGTCAACTTTATCTTATCTTGCATGACGTGAATTTTCTCATTGGGCTTTACGAAAACGCTGAGAATCTCAGTCCCTCTTCTCTTTCCGTGATTATTCAAACCCAATCAGAGGGGAATGAATATAGTTCTGAGCGACTCAAATCATTGACGTCAAGATTTGATTTCCGGTTGGGCTGGTTCAACGTTCCGGCGATTGTTAAGTATGCGCTTGAATATAACCAGGGCGTGTTGTACCAACATCTTCAAACGGCGGAGCTAATTAATGTGACTGATACATACTCCCATCAAGAATTTTTCAATGCTGCTCATAAAATCCCCTGCCAATTAATGTGGAAAAGCAATGGATGCACTGGTGCGCAACCCCCGAAGTCATGTCTGTAGAACGCCTAGCTCTCGAATTTTGCTAGAAATCCGGTCGTCTCTGCATTAGAGAGATATCTCCCAGTGAAAATTACCAGTATTCAATCTTTGATATTGTTTTCTGAATTTAGTTTTCTGAATTTGTGCAATTGATCAGGTATAATAAGAATTGAGATGTGGATACCGTGCCGCTCTTTTCACTTTGTTTAACATGGAGATTTCCGAGGTCCTGCCGCTGGTGAATGCCCTGTGAACTACTAATCATTGGCTTTACCTTCTCCCTCAAATTCAAATTCGAACACATTTTCGTAATTCGTAAATTCGAAGGCGATCGTTTTAATGTATAAAACAAGTTCTATTACCACAGCCTAACCGCTTTCCCATGCAGTGAACGGATAATCGACCTTTGAGGGAGGCTTCGCACTATGCTGACGCGTAGCGCTTTCTCGTTTAAGGCGAGGTATCGGACCTCCTTTGCATTCCCCGTGATATGTACGCCGCTGCGTCGTGGTTGCTCGGCACTGTACAAAGACGTTAAATTATTTTTCAGTGTTTACGGAGATTACTTCCTCTTTTCATGTTGGCTTAGCACCTGTCATGTGAAAGAATAGAAGGGTATTTTCTGTGCCATATCTTGCACGATTCCTTCTTTCTCTTTCTCTGTATCTTCTGAATGTGATTCTTTTCTATTATCTCGTCTCTCTCTGTCTCTCTCTCTCTCTCTCTCTCTCTCTCTCCCTCTTTTGCCTGTACGAAGGCCTGGCCTCCTATCCCCCGCCGATCAGAGTAAAGCCTTGCCTCAAGCTTTGATTCACCCTTGCTATCCACGGGCCAAAAAGCAGTGGACTGCTTATGTACGTACTTCAAGATGTATGATCGTGCATGTGGCTTTATTTCAACCTCCATCGTAAAGGCTCATTTATAATACTATATATTAATTCTCCCTGTGCATCGATCGACTGGGAATACCTTACACCCGAGGTGCAGGAAGGAATCAGTCGAATGGGCAGAACGATCAATGACCATGCCTCATGTAAAAGTCTGGGTGTTGGTCAGCCGATCACTAAGCTAGTGTTACCAAATCACTTGTTGGTGGCATGAAGCGTAAATGCATCAAGCAATTGGAAGAAAAATATCATGACGATATGAATTGACATACCTACACAATTGACTACCTATATACATCCTACTAGGCAAAAGAAATACACTTGGCCTACATTTCAGCACAAGCAGATAGTAAGAGGGAAGGAAGGGGTTCCTGCTGACTCCCTACGCAGGGGAAACACCCTAGGCAATTATAAACTTACTGGATGAATATACTTCAAATATTAAGAGTTATAAGGATCCTGGTCTTTGAAAATGGACAGATCCAAGTAATAATGGTGGAGGTAGTTGGTCATACGTTACAGGGATATATCGGGAGACAGGCTGTATTGCTGTATGATAGCTAAGTATTGTCTTGTTATGAAATCCAGAGTCCTATTGTTATGCTCGTGATATTTCGGTACTTAGAAACAGGAGAAGGGGTGGTCACTATGCCAGCCCCACCTAGGGAACGCGGGTTAGAGCTTTCGATCTAGGGAAAAAGCGGTCGCCCTTGCATTACCGTCGCAGGCACACTTCGGGAACAGGACGTACTGCAATAGTAACAAACCGTGTGTAGCATGACTAGCTCATACCAGCCCATATCAGCTCATACCTAGTTACTCATGCACTCGGTCAAGCAAGAAGAAGTGATTATGAGAGTCGCCCCTTTCATACTCTCATCCTCAGAAACCCTCTGTGATTCAAAGGCGGGCTCATCCCTGTAACCGAAGAATTAGGAATCTGAGAAAAGGTCTCGACCGATCGAAATTTAACGCCCCACCGGATTGGCGAAGAAAAGCAAATAATGACACAAATGAGGCTGGGCGCTAAACCGCTTCAGGCGTATTTAGAAATAGGATTCTGGTCCGCGGACCGCGATAGACTAAAACTAAGGGATGATAGAGATCACTATAGGATGGAAATTTCAGAATAATACCGTAGCAGACAAGACTCACAGACTGGATTTGAAACTCTACATGGTGTGGCGGTATGACTACAGGCGTACGAACGTCAATGTTACACTCCGACCTCCACCTAGGTCCCAGGTACACGCCCTAAAGTCGCCACCGTGGATAGTCATGTCCGAGCCAGAAAAGATTCTAGTCACCTCTGCCCATTGTCGGTCTTTCGGCCATTGCCGCTGCCGAGTCATTCGGTCGATAGTCCGTATGGGTTTTAAGACTAGCGCCTCAAGCTACCAGTCAGATACTGGATGAATTGTCGATCCGACAGCTGCGTTTCGTAGAGTCAGGGTCACTAAAATCTCGCGAATACACTCTTGCATCTATATACAATTTCAGACGACATTAAACGCCCGGAGCCGAGAACGCGGATTCGATTTTCGATTTGCTAGCATAGTGAGCTGGCTATATCGACACGACTGCTAGCTGCTCGAAATTTAGGACCCCGTCAATTGAAAGCGATCAGGGATCCGGGTTATCCATGATATGAAAAGTTGCGAGCACCCACCACAAAGCTTTCAGACTCAAACGCCATTATATGTTGGACTACTACTTGGCTGAATCGTGGCTTGAGCGATAATTTGACATTCCCACCTATGCAATCACGTTTCCATTCGATATTTTTGCGGTAATTTTGAGCATCTTTAGACAAATGACCAAGTTTGACGTATTGCTTTATACAATCGAGATATCACTACTGCAATGCGTAATGTCTAAATGAATCATCATACCATACTTCGGGGTGCATCCATAGAGATATGTTCTCGAACGAATGTAGTGTGATTACAAAGTATCACCTGATATTTAGTTAGGACGCAGATACTCAATAGACTAAGATGTTTGTCACGGCGCAAGTCATACGTGGTGACTCAAGACGATTCACGATCGAATCGACCCCGCGTCGTCTTAGGGTAACAACCCCAAGAGCTCTGTGTGGGGCTGTGGGGACTCGGTACGTGGAACCTCTATGTATATATTGTGGGAACTGGTGGAGCCTGCCAGACCCCAAGATTCAGTCTTTGAAATCAGACCCCATAGACTTGGACTCTCTGCCTAGCCAACAGGTCCTCTGTCCTGCGATACAGACCCCTTAACAATGTTCAAGAGCTTAGGATGTGTTTTTGCTTTCTTTCGCCCCTGACCGAAAGGAGGTCGACCGCCACCACATTTATCTATGAACACTGCTCCGAGTCGATAGTGCATAATAGTATCCTCATTGCTCATAAGAAGTACCGCATCTTATCGTTACACGATGAATATTCGAACAATTTCAACGTGATTGCTAACAGTGGTTATCAACGTGTGCGCGCATAAATATCTAGGGCGGTGGTACTCGCTTGTTGTTGTTTTCAACCTTTCCAATCCCTTTCCATCACCACAGTCTGCTAGAATCCAACAAAACAATAATGAGCTCATTGTTGCGAATGACCGGCGTCTTGTCCCACTCCAGTCTGATTCGAACAAGTGGTAAAGGAATATGCTTGGCGCGCAGGTCAGCATGCCTGATCGTTTACCCAGTCGCCCGGTCGCGTTCCCGTTCCGGCGTTATAATCCATAAGCCGATTCGAGATGTGTGTTCATCATCGACACCCTCGTCCTCCCAAACAAAGCCGTTGGACTCGGGTCATCTCTACGGAGAGCTTCTTGCGGGATATCGGCCCGACTTCAGCGATATCGATGGAAGTCGACATGCAACAGTACATCTTGATCTAAATGCGAAGCAGAGGATCTGTTATTATCCGCGCAAAGTACATGGTGGATATCAGGCATTCCTTCTGGATCAGCTTTTCGCAGACTGCTGCAATCCCGCAGTTACGGCGAGCTTGACAGTTGACTACAAGAAACCGATTCACCCGGACGCGACGCTGATTTTGCGTGCATGGCCGGTGAAAGCTGAGGGCCGGAAGATTTACATGGAAGGGAGCATCAAGATGGCAGATCCGGTTTCCGGTGAGATGGTGGTAGCAGCTCGCGCAACTGCAGTTTTTGTTTTTGGAAAAAGCAAGCGTTCAGTTGACTAAGCGATCCAATCAAAGTTACTAACGTAATTCACAGCCATCTCGGCCACACGGTCAAGTCGGCCACCCCAAACACCATACTGAAGGCGATTTTTCACATCTTCATACCTCAACAACCATAGATTATTTTTACTTAAATATTAGGATATAGGCTTCCCTTGGAATACAAAATAATATAACGCAGATTTAGCCAGTTTAGATGATTATTTCAATGCTTTACGAGAAAATACGGCGTAATTTTGACGTCGTGGACATAAGTATGTAGATCTCTACTAATACTTCTAGTAAATTTCCCATACCCCGCGGATAGGGCGTAAATACCATCTAGATGATACAATTCTAATATCGTTTCATAAATAGATGTTGTTGTTGAGATATGAAGATGTGAAAAATCGCCTTCAGTATGGTGTTTGGGGTGGCCGACTTGACCGTGTGGCCGAGATGGCTGTGAATTACGTTAACTAACTAGTTAGTTTTTTAGCCAATGTTTAGCTAACTAATGAATAAGGCATTTTGACTGCCTCGACGTCTCAGTATTTGAAATTATTATCTTCTGATTTTCGGTTTACAGTATGTCACAAACACCGCAAACTCAAAGCCAAAAAAGCCTAGTGAACATGCTTCTATCATAGTACCTAGTAGCTGGTGGCTCTCCTGGGGGTCTTAGGCGTACGATGCAGGGAAATTGAAAGGTGCGACCGTGTTAGTATCGATCGAGGATCGTAGATAGAGAGAAAAGCAAGTCATGCTTCCAGCTGTAGCTGGGCTTTTACCCTAAGATTGCCCGAAAATCTCGCGTCACAAGTAGAGTATTACTGAAATTTGCTGATCAAACAAAGATCGGATATGCAGGGTTTGAGTTAAGGGGATTAAATTGAAACATGAAAATCACATCCTGCCTTCAGCGTGGCTCCTTTTCTACCGAACAGTTTCCGGAGGCGCAAGCACGGGTTCGGAAAAACATTATTCCATTAACTCACCCGCCCTCTTCAGGAGCGCACATAGCCAGTGAGTTGGGTTATCATGCGGGGGTGTCATGTTAGCATGTCATGCGTCAGGCACGAGAGCGCGATCTACCACACGGAGTATGGCTCGGTATCGACATTGAAACAACAATCACAAAGTTGGTATTTCATAATCCATCATACGCCCAAGAAACATGCCGACTGCACTCGACAATTTCCGCTGGGCGGCGCTTACAGCAATGTGAAAACGACAGACGAGCTCGACTCCGCGTTGATACAAAATACGGAGACGAGGGCATGTTCATTTGGGTCGGCTGGGTTGACATTCCACAATGCATACGTCTTCAGGTATATCAAGCTTTGACTGATAGAGCGGGATCCATATGCAGGACGTCTAGCTGCTTCATGTGCAAGGCTAGATGTTACCGACGGGTGCCCCGAAGAGTTCACGGTTGCATGCCTTTTCCGCACGCCTTTTGATATCTTCGCGAGGTAGTCATAAGGATCATCTCGTTCATAAATACGGCGGCTCTTGTGACAGAATCGATGCGTAGCTTAGTTGCCAAGTCTAAATTGAAGAGACTGTAAAGGAGACGTTCCAATACCGCCGCTTGCTCGGGTCGATATATGGATGCTCTCACGGGACTCGCCCTGTTCTTCAGTCATTGCCGAAGCTTAGGTTCCCTCCATACGTGCCATAGCAAGCAGCGCCGTCGCCCCGTTAACAACTCCTAGACCATGAATAAATAATAGCTGAGAACAGAACAAGTAGAAAGCGCCAAGATCCTCATACAAATGACAATTCTCCTATCGATGACATGAGCGCCTCGCCATACTAGCAGTCGAAATATCGCAGCGTGTGGTAAAGACAACGCCAGCATTGATTCCCCGTGGGAGTCGGGTGTATCTGGATTCGCTCCATTGTCAAGGAGGAGTTCAACAATCATGGTGTATCCACCCTGGATTGCCCAAAACAAGGGCCCCATCTCCGCTCGGTGCCCGGGCGGGGGAATGGGGCTCGCATCCCACTTTAGGAGTAATTGTACAACTCGGTAGTGACCGTTTGCGGCTGCTCTGCATAAGGGATACACTCTTTTCGAGGGCCATGATATGGCTTCATCTTGCGCGATTACATCCACCGGGCATTCAAGGATCAGCAGTCGATGCACAAAATCCTCCCAGCCGCAAGCAGCAGCTATGGAAATCAGTAAAGCGCGGACGTTCTCACTTTCCAGCTCAATCATTGCGTCCAACTCCAGGGCCCCCGAAGAAATTCAGCCACTTCGTAATGCTTGCCACTTACAGCCACCTGTAATGGCAGTAATCGAAGTACGGGCGTGGGTTCAAGCTTCGAAAATGCCCCATATTCACGAAGCAGTTTCAAGGACGCAAGATGGCCGCACCTTGCAGCGCAGCAGATCAACGATTCTTCGGGGAAGGCCTGTGCGTGGAGATCAGCTCCCGCCAAAAGCAGACACTTCGCCAGGCTGATATGTTTATTGCATATGGCGTGAAATAGCGGAGAGTGGTCATTGCGATCTAACGCTTCGATATCACACTGGGCTTCTATCAAGAGTTCCGCGAATTTTAGATACCCACACTCTGCAGCGATTGACAAGGCTGTCTGGCCTAAATCAATTGTACGCGAATTAATACATGCCATCAGAGGCGTCGACGGCTGACCATTGTCGTCAACGGATCGGATGGTGATATGTGGAAGCCTGTTGGTAATGTCCTCTCTGCCGAGACGAGTACAGGCAGATCCAGATACAGAAGTGCCCATTATCGCCTTTACAGCTGATGGGTGTTCCCGGTCATTGATAGTTGCCTGGCGCTGGCAACATGCGTCCAAGACCTTTGTTGCAGTTTCGACACGACCCTGACGCGCTGCCCAGAGCAGAGCGGTACTATCAGAATAGCGAACATTGTGCTGGTACAGACTACGATCGAGTAATGAGTGAAGGTGTCTGCAGACTTGCGAGAACGCATTGATGTCCAGCTCTTTTCCAAGATAACTGGCAATATGAAGCAAAATCTCATTAGGAAGGTTCATGAGCTTCATCGGAAGGTAGCAGTCACAAGTTCACAACGATTGATATATCGCACGCGATTGGAGCTCTGGTCACCGAACCCATCTCAGATATGATATACCATGCGGTCCATGCCGCCCGCTAAGTGTTCTAAAATACCGTGGTAGCATAGTTGCGTAACCGTGCCGCAGCGGGTATGGTACTTGATAGAACACGCCAACACGGTCCCTCTCAGTTCTCAACGTCTTTTGTCGAGTACCGTACGGTGTACCCGATGCGGCACTGTTGCGCAACCGTGTTACTACGGTGTTCGAAATTCCTGGAGCTTTGGGTAGAGAATAAATATTTAAATATAGATTTCCTGAATTTTACTAGGCATTGAAATTAAAGGATTTACTGTTCTACGAATCGAAACCCAAACCTTAACTTCCTTAAGTAATACTTTGTATTTTTATTTGTCATCAAGAAATGAGGATAGGGGTTTAGGATTACTACCGACTATACTATTTGGATGAGGTCTAAGTTGAGTGTGTTGGATAAGATCTAAGTTGAGTTACTGAGTAGTCTGAGACTCTGAGTGTGTTGATTGTTGGATGAGGTCTAGCTTTCTGACTTTCCTAAGTTGAGTGTGTTGGATAAGGTCTCCGTCTAATTTGAGTGTGTAACGTCACTAACGTGTTGGATAAGGTCTAGGTTGACTCGTTGAGTACGTTAGATGAGGTCTAAGTTGAGTCTCTCGGGTCACTTGGGTGAGGTGTTTAAGAGTAGTGGCTAGGTGGTTATAGTTCTTTAGTTATATTACGGTGCCGTACTGGGTACGGTACTCTTCAACCCTTGTATATACTAGTGAACGCAAATTAGAGCCAAAACAAATGAAAAACAACGACTTTCAAATTAGAAACGTTCTTAATTAATCAAAACCAAATTTTTGACCATGATGCGAATTAAAGATGTACTAATATTGTTATATATTACGTACGTACTAAATATGCACGTGACTATATACTTTGCCAAAGAAAAGACACCGCGGTTCGAACCCGCGCCCTTCATCAGATTATATCACTATTACTTGTTACTAGTACTAAATAGACTGCAGGGGCCAATTTGAGCTTCGGCCAGAATTTTGAGTATATAAAGTCTATTTGAATTAATTCCCTACGGAGGATCTATTAATCTTTGAATAATATTAATAATATTGATGATGTTGATGATGAAGTCCGTAGACCGCGTATACCAGAGTTATGGAAGAATCAGATATATATTTTTGATATGAGTACGCGCCACACGCGGATATAACCAAGTACCGGTAGATAAGCTGATAAAGTGGGTGGTATAGCCTTCGCTGGACTATTTCATTGAAGTTATAGAATCCTTGGTGAATACCACATTTTAAGAGGTTTTGTAAAGAGGAGGCTGAGTACGTATGATAATCGAAATGTATTTAGCGTACGCTTCATTCTTCAATAGAAGATTCCAAGCGATGATACACAGCACCACTGGTGGCGCCATTCGTATCTCTGTCACAGGGTATTCATTCTCCAGAGGCGGTAGGAGTCAGAAATATCTCTTTCACGCCTCAAGGTGCAGACTGCAGAGCAACTTTTTCCAATGGCTCAGTCAGCTCGGACAGGGGGTCCGTGGGAGTCTTGGTCTACCTCGCATCCAATATAACCATTGCTAATTTCTCTTTCGCGTCAACTCAATGGCGCTCGAGGGAATCCCTAACTACTCGTTCCCTGGCATTGGCGATACTGGTGATAAGCAAGGCCAAGACTGAGTCTGGGGATTCAAGCGAGGCGTAATGGTCAATCAGCTGTCCAAATCCCCAATTTGGTATCAGCGTTGTTGTCCAGGTGGGAACTTGAAGGTGACAGCCTAGTTGACGCGGGACCCCGTCCTACACACGTGATACACGATTAGATGCACACGTGACCCCGATGGAGTAGCTATTGCCCCTCGAGTAGTTCACAGTCTTAGAAGAATCCATCTCTTTTCGTTCCAACCACTC